ATACCTTTCTCTCTCGATCCCTTTCCTTCCCGTTACTCAGCAAAAGGTACGGGAATAGACTGCAAAAGTCCTAAAAAAGCCCCCAATCCCGCAAAGTCCCTAACAGAACCTTCCAAGGATCTCCAACACTGTCGTATTTCCTGCCGAGCTTCCAGGCCTCACACCCCATCCTGCTGGGTTACAGGGCAACACAACTCACCCCAGCTCCGGCCAGCGTCGTCTCAGCAGCAACCCTTGATTGTCCCGTGGGATGCCCCCCCAAAGCATCCCCAGATCTCTCTACCAGGCCTCATGCCCCTGCGTCAACAGGTTACAGGGCAACACCCCAGCACCGGCCAGCGTCGTTCTGGTGTCGAACAACCTTAGGTTACCGAGTATTACAGCCTTGAGACTACCTAGAAGAGATTGTCAGGAAACCCCAGGATCCAGAAGACATTTTAAGGACAGAACAGCCTACCCCCTTTTTTGAGAACTGGATTTAACTAGGTGAAAACTCGTAATTGAAAACATAAAAAAAGAGACCTGGCGGGTCCTACAAATGCTCAGAAGCCCTTGGAATCCCTAACGCCCCTTCTGAGGCCTTTCAACACTGTCCTACTCCCTGCCGAGCTCTTCCAGGTCTCACACCCCACATCCTGCTAGGTTACAGGGTGACACAACTCACCCCAGCTCCGACCAGCGTCGTCCCAGCAGCAACCCTTAGCTGTTCCGTAGGATGCCCACCCCTAACCATCCCCAGATCTCTCTACCAGGCCTCATGCTCCTGCATCAACAGGTCACAGGGTAACACCCCAGCTCCGGCTAGCGTCGTTTTGGCATCGAGCAGCCATACAGGTCCCTGAGTATAACAGCATCAACAAGCACCTAAGAAGAGTTGCCAGGGATCCTGAGAGCCCAAAAACATTCTTAAGACCCCCGAACAGCCATCTAAAAAAGGGGGGAGAGGTCAAAACTAAATACCAACCATCCTAAAGTCCCCCCCTCAACAAAGGAGCCGTCGGTCTCGACTTTCGGTCCTCGAACCAGAACACACTTGGTCTCATACCCCCTTCTGCATAGGTAACAGGGCACCACAACCTTCCCCAGTACCGACCAACCTAGTTCTGTCGGATAGGAAGTGTCTTCCTTCCTCGACAATTCCCATAGTAACAAACCCCTACACAGGTTACAGGGTCAGAACCCCGGCGCCACTTGTGTTGGACGATCTGGTTATGCCTTCCACCCTCAACATAATTCCATGGGCCTCAAGCTCCCCCCCGGGTCACAGAGCCAAGCTCCAGCACCGGCCCATGTCATCCCAACCTCGTCCTCCTGACCTACTCACCTTCACCGACATCCATCCTCTGATTGAATACCACCTTTCCTCCTCCCATCCTCCCCTTTTTAATTCCCCCCCCCTTCCTTCACCGAGACTGATTACTAGGTAAAACTAAATAGCATCAAAATCAGATAATTCTTCGTATTGCAGATATGATGAAACTATTTTTAGGCTTAGTATCACATTCATTCAGAATTTAGACTGGAAGTTTGATAAAACTAAATTACGAAGATCGACAAACACGTAAGACCCTTGAGAGACTAAACAAATAAGAATCGTTTTTGTTTTTGAATCAGAGCCAAAACTATGATTTACGAACGTCGAATTATGCAAGATCAGAAAATGAGAATCGTTGTTGAGATGTCCCATAGGACTTATGAACACCGAATATTGGACCGCCCGATCCAAAATTCACTTATGAAAATCAATCAGAAAGTCAATCGAAAACTTTTCAGAATTAGGATTTCCGATTAGAAATCTTACCCAGAAAGTACGAATTGCAAAGCATTAAGATAGCAATCCTAAGAAATTTGAAAGAATAAATCGAAGGATACCATCGTTGAAAAAACGTTTAGCAAATCTTCGAGATAGGAATTGAGAAAATGTTTCCAAACTACATCCGAAATCAATCGAGAAAAAGATTTACGAATTATTTTCAGCTACCCATAGTCCACCGCAATTATGTTAGAAAAACCTTAGAAAAACAAATCAGTCAAAAAAACGGGGGAAGACACCCAACACCAACGGGCAAGCCAGCGTGTTTCCTACTTCGCCCTATTCAATCAACGCCTCCCTTTCCCCTCGAAACCTCACCTCCCTCTTCATTATCTCCCCTTTCCTCGGCTCCTCGCATTTCGACCGCGTCTTGGTCTTACACAACCATCACCACATCAGGTCGAACGATGAAGTTATCGGACCGTGACAAAAGCTCACCATCTCCACCACGTCACGTTGTGAGTCCCAACTATTGAACCCGCCAATAGCCCCTCACATGCAGTTTCAAGAATGAAAGGAACACTCACCTTATCACGGGCACCGTAGACAAACCTTGAAGACCAACATGAGAGGATCTGCGCTTGGACGTCTGCCGAAAGAAGGGATCCGAGTGATCGAACTCATAATCTTCTGGTGGCACAACCGCTGAAAAGAAGAGCCGAGTGGAAAAACCAAACCTCCCCTTATCCACTCCCGTCCTCACAATATCCCTCATCTCGGGCTGTAAGGCAACAACACTACCACTCACCCACAACACGCCTCGACCCTCCACCATCACCTCGTACTCACAGATCGTCGCCCCACTTCATCACACCCTCACCACTCGTTACCCCGCCCCCCTCTCGCATCCCGCGCGCTCACCCGCCGCGCCGCCTTTTTTTTTTTTTTTTTTTTTTTTTTTAAGGCCCTTGCGCAAGACCTCTATCATGGTGGTGGTAAGAGAACCACCGGGATTGAGGCTTTGCCTGGCGGGCCGCTCCATCTATTGGTGGGGAGCAACACCTGCTGGAATCCGGGTCCAGCGTCTCTTAAATACATCTTTACAAAACAGTACAACAATGAAAGTGACACCAATGTGCTGGAAACCGGGTCCAGCGTCCCATGCTTAATCTACTCTTCCATACCTAACCTGCCGCATGGTCGGGTATTGGGGGGGGAACCACCGGGGGGCACCAGTGGAATCTCCCTCCATCCCCTAGCCTCTGCCAACCACCTACTATCCTCTTGGCGCCTATTGTGTCTTTGCACATTTGTAATAGCACAACTGGAACAACTGGAAAAACAGAAAGCAGAAAACAGAAACAGGCTGAAAAACAAGCTGAACTAGGCTGCACTGCGCCTAATGGTTGTCAAGCCAAGAATACCGAAAATGTTGCAGAGTACTGGGAATGCCAAGAAGGGAGTCTTAGAATGTCTCTAAATCCCCACATATTCCTCCATGGCCAAAGGGTGGGGAGGAAAGGGATCGCCAAACTCCTGCGCAGGTCTCATCTGTTCTCCAGGATCCACCCC